TAGTCAGAGTATGATTGCTCAGTCTGTACCTCGTCATTTGTCTTCTTAATTTACAGTCTTTCACTGTACTCAGATAATCTGCAGTTGTGTAATCTCTATTTAGGGCCAAATAACATTCAAGTTTACTTTGTTTTTCTGTTGTTTCAGTCCAATAAGTTAGATAATTTTCTTTTTGTGTTTTTATAATTTTGTGGATGAATATACCACGTTCATATTCACGCAATTTTTTGCGCAGCTCGTCAGTGAACAACGGCTCTGTGTAGTTATTGCTGCTCAATGTGAAAGCACGCACGTAATGGAGATTTACCGCTGATTACAGAACCAGCTTTCTGACAAGATGCGCATTAAATATAGAATGCGATTTATCGTGCAGTCCTAGTTAGTCATGTTAGTTTGTTTTTGCAGCTTCAGGAACATCTGAATCAGGGGACTTTTTTCAAGGTTCACTTCATGGATTTTAAGGGCCTTAAAATGGTAAGAGTTGGGGTCACTCATTTTTAGGTTTCCAAAATTTGATGGCTCTTTTCTCAATGCGTATTAGTAGAGGGTATTGGCCTAATTCTAATTATGCGTATGCATGCATCATTTTTATCTCTGTCCCTTACAAACACACAGACACCAAGTCTCTGCTTCCGTCCCTCCCTGGCATTTCCACACACACACACACAAACACTTGTACGGCATTGTGACAGTAGTTTAGCACAGAGTGGTCTTCGCCCCAGGCTGCGCTCGATCCCCTGTTGACCTATATGAGTCACAGTGAGAGGAAATCACCTGTTTTTTTTTTATTACATATATTTTTTGTCATATTTATTTGGTTTTATTTCATTTTGGTGTCAAAAAAATATTTGAACTTTTGAGATGATTGTAATATAATGTTACCACATCTTTTTCTGAGCATTTGTTCAGCCATAAACCGTCTTTACTTGGCTTCTCTGCAAATTTTTTGCTTAATCTGTTGTTTCCCTTTGTCCTTTTGCAAACAGAGCGCACTGTCCTCGTATGCCATAGATTTAATTAGAGAGCTGTTCCTCTGAGCAAGTTGTTTTAGTGTCAGAGCTTCTTTTCAGCTACTAGTGTGAGTTGCCCCAACATGCCACCCTTTTACACGATCTCACACATAGTGTATCCATTTACACCAAAGCATGCCAGTCCAGTCCCTTAATCACATTATTTTATAGGGTGTATAGTAGGAGTTTTTGGTACTTGCCGATACTGAAACCAATACTTGAATTTTCACTGCATTTGTAAAAAATAGTGTGTACAGAAACCAAAAGAATATGAGTCATGCTAGCTGGTTTCATTTAGCAAATAGTTTCCTTCAGTTATTTTCACCCGTAATTATTCCCGTTACAATGTATTGTACAAGCTTTTGTTACTTTCACTGTTTTTTTTTTGCTTTATGGTATTTCATCTTTAATTTAATAGCGCATTAGAGCTGTTCCTTTGCAGCAGCTCAGTACTGTAATCACAAGACATTTTCCTGTAATAATGCAGGGAACCACTAGTTATACATAAATCTTATAACAGCGATGACCATATATGTTGCGTTTTTTGTCATCTGAAATGTGCTGTGACTTATATTCCAAAGCAACTCACATAATGCAATTAACATCAAGCAAGCAAAACATCTGTATTGGTGCAGAATGAGAGAGACACGTAAAGCCTAGCGCACTTCACACAGGCTGCTAGTTTCACTTTCGCTTTAAATAAAGTTGTGTAGGCTTGATGTTTAAAATAAATGTTGTTTATAGTGAATGCCCTTATCATTTTTGTTTGTTTTATATTTACGATTTAGTTTTAATCCAAATGATGCATGTGCTAATGGAGCAAACAGCAATCAAGATCATACAACAGAAGTGTGTGTTCTCTCTCTCTCGCTCTCTCCCTTACCGTCAAGTAACTTTAGTAACTTCTGCATAGTTTTACTTGCTTGTGACATATCTGACCGAACTACAAACTTTCCAGTGATGTGTGGGAGAAAGGGATATTTGCTCGACAAGCTCACGCATCTGTGCTGCTGTGTGCTCAATCCACTCAGCGTGCTTTGCTTATCAGCTCGCGCACATCAGCTATACAGGCATGAATATACCGAATGTTAACATTATATTAATTACATACATGTACTTGTAACTCCATTCTGCTCTCTGTTGTTCTGTTGTCAGTGTTTCTTTGTCTGGACACAGCACTGTTCACACGCTGTGTGCTATCAGAGCATTTTAATGAGTATGAGTACAGGAGCGCAGTATCGGCCCAATACCGATACCATTATCGGTATCGGTGCATCCCTGGTATGTAGTGAAACCCAGTTTTGGTCAGTACATAGTCTTTTTTTTCTGCGTATTTAACAAAACCAACTTGTCCAGTTCCTCCTTTTTGATAGTCACATAAATGATAAATGCTCTCCAAAAAGCACAGTGACACTCAGCAGCATGTTCATTGCAGGACCGACACACTGAGTTCAGACAGTTATGCATAATCACCGCTCTGCTCTCAGGCACTAGCGGATCAGTTCTGTGGTGTTAAATCACTTTTCAGTCACCCGTCAAGGGGCGTCTGCTGCATTTATTGTTCTTGTCTTTACACACACTCGTGGCTTTGGGAAATCTCTGCGAGGCTTGTTAAATGATAGGCTTGGATTATTCTGAGCCATGTTGTTAGATGTTTTTGGGTGTACCTGAGCCGTGCGATTTGGTTGGATGTTAGGGAGAAATAAAAAATAACCTTCTGCCTTGGAAATGGTGGCAAATTATGGAAATGTATCTTGGTTTCCACTAAAATATAAGACCGCAGAACTGTTTTTAACTTTGAGAAGAAATGTTTCTTGAGCTTTCACAACGAAAAACACAGCGGCCTAGCGTGAGGGGAAGCTCCGGTTAGCGTGCGCTGAGGCCGGGATAGAGAGAGCTGAGGCCAGGCTAGAGTGAGCTGAGGCGGCGGGGTCTAGAACGGCGCGCCCGGCGGATCCGACGAATGAGCGGCAACCACATGTGACGACCCCGGGCTGGACTCCGCTTCGTCCATGGTGAAAGTTGATGTATTCCCTCAGCGACCAGCACGGATCAGCTCTAGGCATGACGAAGTGGATATCGTCCTCTTTTGGAAGACCAAACAAAGTAGTTTCGCTTTCACAACGAAGCACACAGCGTCTTCACGACATGGCTGCAGCGTCAAAACTACAGTGAGAATAAAAGTTACGCCTTCTTTCTTTGCGTGAACATTTGGGCGGCGTTATGCAAATCTTCCCACATAGTGAGGTAGGTATGTGGGGGCGTGTTAGAACGAGGTGTTTTAGGTAGGTGTGGCTGACTCTGAACTTTTATAAAGAATATCTCTTTGGATTTGAGACTTTAGTCTTTGCAACTTTACAGAGCTTGTAACACTCCAAAGAGAAAGGAAAAATTTAAATCGCATCATATGACCCCTTTAATACAATCGAAGCTCAATGAATATGAAATGTCATGTTTTTGTGCAATCATACACATACACATACACTACTGTGCAAAAGTCTTCAGATTTTCACAGTTCTAATGGATTTACTCAGTCTCAGTTTTTTCTGTTTCTTCATGTCATCCCAGACGGACTCGATGATTTTGGGATCAGATCTTTGTGTGGAGCACTGGCTGTTGTCAGACTCCTTGTGCATACCAAATTCTTGCAGCATTATTACAATTAATGGCAAAAGGAATGTTTGGAAATGTACACTGATATTTCCTACTGACACACTACAGTAAAAGATAATAAATGTCCTAAAACCATTGTTTTTTGGTGAAAATACTAATGGCCTAAGACTTTTGCACAGTGTATAAATATATATTTCAATGAAATGCTCCTCCTCTTCTCAGTATCGTCATAGTGCACCTTACGTTGGACCCCCGCAGCAATATGCCATCCAGCCACCAGGGTCTGGAACCTTCTATCCAGGACCTGGGCCTGGGGAATACCCTGCTCCTTATGGCAAGTACAGACCTCTCTGTAGTGCACAGCTCAGTATGAGCGTGCTTGAGTCACACTCAGCTGGTTCATATTAGCTCCAGGTAGTTTCAGTGTGTGTCTGATTAACTGAGAAATGACCCCGTTTCCAGAAAGCGATTCACTCTGAGACTGTTTAGATCTCATGTGAAAGCAGCTCACACAGCGACGTGACTCACTGTTTTTCTTCCTTCCATCTCTTTTCCAACAACAGCTGCCGGGCCGCCATATTACGCCAGCCAGACAGTGTACCCTCCCTCTCCACCCATCATAGTGCCTGCACCACTGCCACCTCCACCAGCCAAGCGTGAAAAGAAACCAGTGAGTACCTGAAAAATTCTGCCTCGTTTTTAGAAATGCCAAGGGATCCACTTAGTTCTCCATTCATTTTAGACTGATAAGGCTTGGATTTAATCCCAACAGCCCTGGCTGGCAGACCCAGATTAAATGCAAAAATGCTGTTAAAAGGGATGTTCATCAAGTATTAGTTTTACCTTGGTATTGGCCTTAGCTTTTTGTGCAATTATGTCATGCTAGTCTATTAAATTTCCAGAATTTAAGATGAAGAATAAGTATTGAATTTATCCGGGAATGAAGTTAATTTGTGACATATTTGTAACTCCTGACATATTTGGATCAGACTGTCTCATGTGGTGGTTTTGTTGCATGCTGGGAGGTTGGCATAGCCGAGGTGTTTTATCCCATGCCAAAGTGAGAATTAAGCCAGTTAGAAATCACCCAGCCTCATGCAAAAATTAATTTTAAAAATAAACCATGGAAAGTAACTCTTTAGCATTGGGTTGGGGGCTAGAAAAATTGAAAAAATCTAGAAAAATGGAATCCAGTAAAATGTGTTAAATTTACAGAAAGGTCTACTACGTCAGTGATGTTGATGCCTTTTCATCAGCCAACTAAAGATGTCAGCTTTTATCTAAGCATTTTTCAAAGATTGATTTTGAATTCATCACATACAGTAAACTGAACTCTCAGGATGCAAATGTTAGTGAAATATTTCTGTTGTCAAGACCAACAAAAAATTAATGTGCGGTTGAAAATACTCCTGTAATTGAAGTTACATAATCATATAAATATTAACAAATTAAATTAAAGCAATGTTGTATAGTGCTGAATTTTTTTTACATTTAAATATATTTCCAAGTAAACAGTTGTTAGTAAAATCTATAAAGAACAATGAAACAAATTTTTTTTACGTATATTTTACTTTAGAACTGCATTACCATTCAAAAGTTTGGGGTTAGTAGGGTGTTTTAATTAGTGCTGTCAATCGATTAAAAAAAATACTGATTAATCGCACCTAACATTAAAGTTTTTATTAAATTTATTTATTAAATATACTTTTATATTGCAATAATTTCACATGCAATCTTCAAATTAAAGTAGAAACAACATAAAGACAGTATATTTTTTATATTTGTTTAATGGTGAGTATCACTGATAACAATACTACTCTCTATTAATTTTTTTTTTCTTTCTAATATTTAGCCATTGACTATAGCCATTCAACATTACCATATAATTGAGAGCTATCAATTTTAACATTTATTACAAAAGTTATTGATTTCCTCTTTTTTTATTTTGTTCTTTGATCACAGCAGTTGGGTTATTTATTAGGTTATTTTTGCTGTTTTAAGAGCTGCCGCTGTTGAACATGACGCGGATCTGTCTCGCATTGCATTTTCTCACAATTCTTTACCTTTTCTGACCCACCTCAGGTCTTAAAGTCTCTACTAATGAGCTGACGAGTTGAATTGGGTGTGTTAGATGAGGGAGACAGTGCTGGGCTGCTCCAGGACAGTTTTGAAAACCACTGCATTTCAGAGACATGTTCTTAAATGTGACTCATATTTAACAAATACTTACATGCAGGCATAGTTTTAAGGCAGCTTTAATCACCTTTTTGGTAACTTCATGACTTAACTGACGACATAGCTACGATATTGCATTTCTTTTACGGTTTAATATGAAGTAATATAGGCTATAGCACATGCCACCGCATTTGTGCATGTAATTGAAGAGCAGGTGCTACAAGCACAGTATAACTGTTGACAGCTGACAGGACAGGAAAATTAGTTTTTACTGACATATAGCAGCCTGACAACATCTCATCTGACCATGGTTCACTCTTGTTCTACTGGAGCTCCCTCGTCACCTGTACCTTTTCTGCGGCATTGGACTGCGCATCTGAAAAGTCTCCCATTTGATGTGGTCGTAAAGACCTTCTGCGTCTAAATAAACGTAATTCCTGTCAAGAAAAAAGAGACCGAAGCAGCAGTTGTGAGTGGGGTGGCCAACCCTAGCTCCACCCCTGCATTAATTGCGTTAAATATTTTTAAGGCGTTAAACTGAAAAAATGTATTTCATACATTAACACGTTAATTTTGACAGCACTATTTTTTAATGTGTTTAAAAGAAGTCGTTTATGCACACCAAGGCTGCATTTATTTAATTAAAAATACAGTAAAAACAGTTATGTTGTGAAATATTATTACAATTTAAACAATTATAATAATTTTTAAATGTAATTTATTCATGTAATGGAAATGCTGAATTTCAGCAGCTATTACTCCAGTCTTCAGTGTCACATGATCTTTGAAAAATGAGTATAATTCACAGATTTGGTGCGTAAGAAATATTTTTTTTTCTTATCAACATTGTGCTGTCTAAAATTTTGTGGAAACTGAGATACATTTTTCCAGGACTCTTTGATGAATAAAGTTCAAAAGAACAACATGTATTTGAGATAATATTTTTGTGACAGTATAAATGTCCCTTTTGTTCAGTTTAATGAGCCCTTGCCTTATAAAAGTATTAATTTCTTTAAAAAACAAATCTTACTGACCCCAAACTTTTGAACATTGCTATATTGTGAAATATAGTAATATAAAAGGAGAATATTTTAAAAGGGGAATATTTTCAGCAATCAATGACTCAAAATACAGTTGGTACTGAAGTACTGGTACTTCTGACAGCCCTGTAGGCTAGGGAACTGCGATTGACCCGGTTGCTTTAGTGAGTTATTTGTTGTTTTGTGCCATTGTCCTCCCAGATTCGGATCCGAGACCCCAACCAGGGTGGAAAGGACATCACAGAGGAAATCATGTTTGGAAGCCGTAATCCTACTCCTCCTGCCGGGCACTCGGCCTCCACCTTAACCCCACCTGCAGGACAGCCCTCCTCAACACCAACCCCACCCACAGGACACCTGTCCTCCACACCCACCCCTCCACAGGCAAGAAATACACATTGTTTTGTGCCTCCAGAAACAGGCATAACTTCAAACAGGGGCAGGTGTAGTCTGAGCTAAAATTACATGTAATTTCATAGGAAAGTGAGTTATCAGGTGCCAGAACTTGTTCTTTCTCAGTTATTTATACTTGAAGTAATTATTCACTTCAGTGGAGTGTAGTTCTTAATGCATTTAACACAAGTTCATGCATCATGTGAGTGTTTAACACGTTGTGATGAGAGGGGCTGGGCCGAGAGCTGTGGGAACGGAGCGAGGCCGGTGGAGTAAATGCTAATGCGCAACGCCTGTGTCTCTCACCGGTCTCGAGTCCCACGGAGGAGCTCCAAAAGGATAAAAGGAGGAGTGACGACAGTGCTGGACGAGAGAGGACCAAGCCTGGATTTTATTTTGTGTTTTGTGTGCGGCAGTCGTCTGCGAGAGGTTGCCGCTTTACTTTCATTTTGTGTTTGTTTATTTTATTAAAGTGTTTAAATGTTCGCCGGTTCCCACCTCCTCCTTCCTGGGTTTCGGGACCAATGTAACAACTTTCATAGTCACGGGAAGAAGGAGGCGGGAACTGGCAAACATTTAAACACTTTAATAACAAACACAAAATGAAAGTAAAGCAGCAGCCCCTCGCGGACGACTGCCGCACACAAAACACAAAATAAAATCCAGGCCTGGTCCTCTCTTGTCCAACACTGTCGTCACTCCTCCTTTTATCCTTCCGGAGCTCCTCCATGGGACTCGAGACCGCTGAGTGGCGCAAGTGTCGCGCATTAGCATTTACTCCACCGGCATCGCTCTGTTCCCGCGCCTCTCGGCCCCGCCCCTCTCGTCACATACGTCTTTAATAATTAGCACGGCTTTAATCACTCACTACTCATGTCCATGGGGTCCTTGGCTCAGCTGTTTTAAACTTAGCTGTCCAATGCGATTTTCCAGACATGTATAGCCACCCCACTACTCACTCTCTCTCTCTCTTTCTTTCTCTCTCTCTCTCTCTCTCTCTCTCTCTCTCTGGCACACAGGGTGTGCATGGATTAGTTCCAGCTCACACACTCTGCCCCCAATCTAATCCCTATAAACACATTGAGAGCATTAAGGAGGTTGCACACCGGACAAGAAGCGCCGTGTCACGTCTAGAACAATTCATACAACAAGTATAACATGACGTAGCTGGGTGCCTGCATACACACATAGAAAACAATGTGTTCGAATTTTAAAGATGTGGCGCGACGCGACGCTGCGCTTCTCATCCAGTGTGTGACTGCCTTTAGGCTGTTGGCTGCACCATTATATGTATATTTTGGTCTATGGACAATCAAAAAAAAATTATCGATAAAGTGTCAACAAGCAGCTAAATGTTTTGGCAGAAATGTAAATGACAATGGCTGCCGCATTCCACTCCCTCTCGATCATAACCAGCACTATGACTCTTACAAAAAAAGTAATGCTGCAGTCACAGATGATGTCAGATGCTGACATCTTTAATGTATACCATGGCACTGAAAGATTACCATATGTACCATGGTATTTCCATGATACGCCAAAGTACTTCAATGAATGCAATGGTAGTACCTAATGTTTATGTCCAAAAAAACAGTGTTAAAAGGATACCTGTCTAAAAAGACATGAGATTACCATGTCCAAAAAACATGGTATTACTGTGGTACCTGTCCAAGTAAAACATGAGATTACCTTGCCAAAAGACATGGTGTTACCATGGTACCTGTTAAAAAAACACATGCTTATCATGTCCAAAAACATGGTAATACCATGGTAACTGTTCAAAAAACATGCATATGTCCAAACATAGTTTTACCTTTGTACCTGTCTATAAACATGAGATCACTATACCCAAAAACATAGCATTGCCATAGAATCTGTCCAAAAACGTGGTATTCCCATGGTACCGATCCAAAAAAAACACAAGATTACTTTATCCAAAAACATTGTATTACCATAGTACATACCCAAAAATGTGCTATTACCATGGTACCATGTTCAAAAAAACATATTACTATGATTCATGTCCTAAAAATGTTTCCGGGATAGATGTCCAAAAGCATTGTATTGCCATGGTAATACTATGCAAGTAAATTATCAGTACCATTTCCACCCAGACTTACATAAAATTAGCTGCCGTTGGGTGGGTGATTATGGGCCAGAATAAGCTAGACTGTGGGCTAGGCTTTATGCCCATAGTCAAAGTTCTTGTTCTGCAGGACTGTGCTACGGTTGAGTGATGTGTCTGCATTTTTCTTTCTCTCTTTTTCACCCTAAAACAGCCAAGCAACTGTCAGACCCCAGAACAAACGACATGTGTTAACCCACCTCAGAGAATCTCAGAGAGCCCTGCGCCCATGGATGGGAAACCTAATTTAGGTATAACTCCACAACCAACCCGCTTTTGTGATAATATTTGTCTCTTAAGGTCTTTAGTTTCCTTTTATTCATGTTTTAACCTTCTCTTTGCTCTTGACCTTATAGATGACAGGCCAAAAATGGAGTCTGCTCCCATAATGCCTGTATCTCCTGGGCCTAGGCCTTCAGAGTCCACTTTAGGGAAAAGAGAAGCCCCAAGTCTTCCATTATTAGCCTCTTCTTCTCCAGAGATGGCCTCTGATGTTCCCTCCCAACCTTCAAGTGAATGCATTAAACCAACTGCTGCAGGAGAACCTGAATTTATTTCTCCTTCATCTACCAAGTCTCAGACACATCTGGTTAATTCTGGTGGGGACTCTATTCCTGAAAGTTCTCTCAGACTGTCTGCTTCGCCCTCGCCGTCCCTCAAAGTGGTAAATGGCCTTGCCGAGTCTCAAACTCACTTATCAAGCTATGAAGAACCTGAGGTCCAGGAAGCCCTAAAGATATCATTGTCCCGCGAGGTTCAGCTGCCAACCCAGGGTATGTTATCCACGGAGGAGTCTGGTCAGGAAGTTCCAGTGGCCTTGGAGGAGCTCCAGGCAGAGCACCTCCCTTCTCTAGCTGTACATGTGCCCTTGATCCCTACAGTACAGGCCCCTTCAAGCACCTCCTGCACTGCTACTGTCATTGGACCACCACCTGGTTTGGCACCACTAGTGCAGTCAGTTGTCCTTGAGGTGCCAGAGCAAAACAAGTCCTCGGACAATGTCCAACCGAAGGCTCAGGATGCTTCAGAATCACAAACTCAGAACAACTCTAGAAAGTTCATACCCTCAGGTATTTGTTCTTCATGATTCATGTTACAAAGCAGGCAAAATGAAAAGTTCAAATAACCAGTTACCAATTGTGTTGTCCTTTTTGTGTTCGCCCAAGCTGTTTCTGCTGTACCAAAGTCTTGGAAGAAACCAAATGAAGATGTACTGATGGTGGAAACACTGCTGAAGGAGAATGAGGTGAGATTCACAGAGGTGACATTGACAACAGTGTAATTATCCTTAACAAAAATAAATGAAAACATTTTCAAAATGTACAATTTATATGTGGGGTTTTTTTTTTTTTTTTGATTTTCAAAACCACCTCCAAAAACCTGAAACATTTACAATCCTCCTGCATTAAACATGAAAATGGAACCAAATTTTGTTCAGAAATTTTATATTTTAAATGAAACCAGTTTATATGCATTAACGTTAGTTACGTATGTAACTGTGGTTCTGTGAATTCCGGATGACCACCAGAGGCAGTGCTAAGCACTAGTGGTTAATCGCTGCACCAGCTAGATAGGTCGAGAAAGAAATACCAACATAGTCACGTCATGACGTAGACCGAGATGCGAGGATATAAACCACAGAAGTTCGATGCCCATCCTCGGAATGCTTTCTCACGCATTTTGAATGACGAGGAACTCTGGCTCACCATAACAGACAAATAACTGATCTGTCTGTCTAAAAGAAGCCATAGACTTAACATAGCACCTCAAAACTTGTACAGGACACACAAGGTGAGATCTCCCCCCGCCTGCATCGGAGAGAGAAAAAGGAGGTTGAAAAGCAGCCAGATGAATAAACTGATTCACAAATTGAAGATCGACTGAAGAATGACTCCAGAATCCTCTGGTAACCAGTGTGAGCACGATTCACTTATTGACAGGGCATGAAGCTCACAAACGAGTTTAGCGGAAGCAATGGCTAACAGAAAAGACACTTTCAAGGACAACCACTTAATATCCACAACATCCAATGCTTCAAATTGTGGTGTACAAAGAAACTCTAGAACAAGCGGCAAGTCCCAAACAGAAAAAGGATTAGAATGAACAGGCTTTAAATGCCATGCTCCCTTCAGAAATCTACGTACAAGGTTGTGAGACCCGAAGGATGCACCATCAACCGGGGCATGATAAGTAGATATGGCAGCAACATAAACTTTTGAGCAATGGGAACATCCTTCAAGTCTACACTCACAAACCAGATTCCTTTCATCACAGATTGTAGAATGTCGACTGTGCGCAACATTCAAATAGGAAGACACTTTAGGAACCTGTGGTGGAGGGGAAAAAAAGAGTCTCTGGCCACTCTATGTCGCTGTGGTGTTTAAAGTTGAGGACTGCTGTGGTGACACAACTGCTGCTCTGAGCTCGAGTAGCGTGGGTAAGCTGGCGTCAATGGCATCCTAAAAGAAGGAGCCCGTGGGGCCTGAGTTAGGCCACGTGTCCACCAAAGCGTTTTCCCTGAGGCTGGCATATTTTTTCAATTGTTTTCAATGGAAGCACTGCGTTTTTTAAAACGCCAAGAGGGTACTGAGTGCTGAGTGTCTTTTTAACGCTGAGCGCTCGGGCGTTTTTTCTCGGTGCCAAGAGTTGAAGAATGTTCAACTTTGGGTAAAACGAAGTTATAACTGTCACTTTTTTAGTCAGCTGACCAATCACAGTGGATGGGGGGGCGGGACTAATACCGACCAACTGTCATACCCTGCTTGTACTACGACTGAACTGAACAACAATGGAGAAATTAATATTGCTTGTTTCCAAGTATTTATGTCTTTACCAGATGGAATTGCCGGACTACCAAATTATTGTTATGAAATATAAGGCTTGGAGAAACATTTCATTTGCGATGCGTCTGCCATATTACGTTTTGGCGGCCTTAACTGTTGTGTGGCCTCTGATAACTCTGATAACATTCTCTTTTCTAATAGTTCAGAAATGTTGGGGCCAAAAAGATGTCCCGCTACAATTGGTAGTACCCTCAATGTCATCTTACAATCTTCTGGCAACCTTGCCTGAGCAAGCCATACCTGGCACCGGGCTGTTAGCAGGGTCGCCAAAAGTGTCCCAAGTTCACACATCGCATGACCTACAGTCAACAGGGCAGTCTGTAAGAACTGAAGTACAGAGGGGTCAACATTCATTGACTCTAATGTGGTGTTACGGGCAAGCAGCAGCTGGCAAATAGTATTCTCCGCTCAAGTTATATAGGCTACAGACTCCTATGCTTTTTTCAATAATGTGTCAGTACGACCACATTGCGCACTTGGGCAGCGTACGTTGCCTCTAAGCACTTCATCTGGTGATAGCACCAATGCTGTTACCGGCTGTTCAATTTCAGGTGCCCGACCTACCTCAATAGAGTAGATTGGCTTGCACTAGATGAATGTACAGTCCCACTGCTTGAACCACCAGCAGCAGACAGGCTGGAGAGAGCATCTTGTGGGGGGCCAGGCTGCATGGAATCACACATGGATATCAAAACTGCCTTCGGATAGTACCACGGGGCATACGAGAGCTTGCACAATGGCAAATAAGCGACGAAATCAAGGATAAATAGGTTATCGGGGAAACGCTACCTAAGTGCTGTCGAAACCAGCCACCGGATAGTAACGTGAAGCACAGGGTATCGCCAAAGTCCCTTTAAGACAACAAGTCATGTCACTCGGCAGCCATCTTTGAAACGCCTCTCAGGCATGCAAGTGCAATCTCTTTGAATGGGGGGACATCAAATTCTACAAAACTGTTCACTGAGCTTGCGATTAAATTTTATATTTGAAATCACCAAAGAAATCTGATATTAACTGTGTAACAGTTATGTTACTTCATAATCTTTTGTGCTTTATGTGGCATTTGACTTTAACGAAAATTGTGGTACAGTGCAGTAAAAGCAGTAATTTGGTGAAATATTATTACAATTTAGAATGGATTCTTTACTGTCACTTTTTTTGTATCAATTTAAAGGGGTCATATGATGCGATTTCAATTTTTCCTTTCTCTTTGGAGTGTTACAAGCTCTTGGTGCATAAAGAAGATCTGTAAAGTTGCAAAGACTAAAGTCTCAAATCCAAAGAGATATTCTTTATAAAAGTTAAGAGTCAACCACGCCTACCTAAAACGGCTCGTTCTAACACGCCCCCACATGTCTACGTCACGATGTGGGAAGATTTGCATATCGCCGCCCAAATGTTCACACAAAGAAAGAAGGCGTAACTTTTATTCTCGCTGTAGTATTGTTATTGCCGCCGCCGCCATGTCGTGAAGACGCTGTGTGTTTCATTGTGAAAGCGAAACTACTTTGTTTGGCCTTCCAAAAGAGGACGATATCCGCTTCGTCATGCCTGGAGCTGATCCGTGCTGGTCGCTGAGGAAATACATCAACTTCACGCTGTGGATCGCCGGATCGGCTTTCACCGTGGACGAAGCGGAGTCCAGCCCGGGGTCGCCACATGTGATTGCTACAAGACTAGAAATCAGTGGTTAAGCTGTTTGTCATTTCTCCGATCACAAATGCAGACATGGTTTTATGTTTACGCGACACAATGCAATGCAACGCATAAAAAAACAGTAGAAGTCATTATAATCCGTAATTATTGTCCCCACTGGATGCAACAAATGCCTCGTTTATAATGGCTTTTAATGTTTTTGTATTGTCGCTTCGGCCGGGACAAGGCTTCACAATGGGTAAGGGGCGGAACATTTCTGTCACACGCTTGAGGGATTCAGCCAATCACAACGCACTGGATAGCTGGCCAATCAGAGCACACCTTGCTTTTCAGACCGATGAGTTTTGTAAAAATCTACGCGTTTCAGAAAGGCGGGGCATAGAGGAGAAACAATAATGTACAGTATGTGGAAAATAATGTGTTTTTTAACCTTAAACCGCATAAACGCATTTCATTACACCAAATACACAAAATAATGTTCTTTTTAGCAACATCATATGTCCCCTTTAAATAGTAAAACTAAAACTAATATAAAATCTAAATGAACAAACTGGGGAAAAAAATCTAAAAACATAATTCTACAATAATACTACTAATGATAGAGTGAACAGCACTTAAAACTGAATTGAAAAAATATATATGTTTTTTATTTAGTTTTTATTTCAGTTTGTCTTTTCGAATTAGTTTAGTTTTTGGTGGTTTTCACTCTATCTTTGTTAGTTATTATAACAGGTATCCTGTCAGTGGAAAAGGGATATTGGGATGTTGGAAAAGGGGGAACTGCAAAATCCCTCCACATAACATAACACAGACTAATGGCATTGTTATCATTGCACAAACCATTATGCAGTCATTCATTTCACATAACACCTCCAGGCCCTTGTGTAATGCTGCTTTTCTTCGTTCACATCAGGAGGAGACCACAAAGGACCTCTCTACTGGAGATGACATGGTTGTATCCTGTCAGTGGAAAAGGGATATTGGGATGTTGGAAAAGGGGGAACTGCAAAATCCCTCCACATAACAACACAGACTAATGGCATTGTTATCATTGCACAAACCATTATGCAGTCATTCATTTCACATAACACCTCCAGGCCCTTGTGTAATGCTGCTTTTCTTCGTTCACATCAGGAGGAGACCACAAAGGACCTCTCTACTGGAGATGACATGGTCTCACAACCAACCTTAGGGCACCAGGAGAAGCTCTCAGAGGAGAACGGTGAGATTGAAACAGAGCCTTTTAGGAATGGGGTGGAGACAGAAAGCACTGACAGTGGCGTTACACTCGGAGACAGCAGGGGGTCCATGTGTTCACCCACTCCACTCATGCAGGAAGGTAAGACTTCCCACAGGAACTAATTTAAATTTCTGATCTTTTAATTTTAGCGTTGATACAGATTTTTTATATTCATTGGAGATTGAAGAAGTCATCCAATAGCCAGTAGCCAATGGTATACAGCACAGCCATGAATTGCTATTGCTAGTCACATTTTGATTTCAGAGAGTGCTTATTAAAGGTTTTTGTTGTTTGTAACACCAAAAAGCACCTTACAATTTTATACTATTTTTGTTGATTCTTCCAATGTATTACTCTTAACAAATTACACAACTATAATATATGTCTGTCCTACTATTGCTGTGCTTTTTCCACCCCAGGTCTTGTGCAATCTAATGGAAAGAGACAGTATGACCGGGACTTCCTGTTGGGTTTTCAGTTTATGCCGGCCTGCGTGCAGAAACCAGAGGGACTGCCTCAAATCAGTGATGTGGTGCTAGACAAGGTGTTTATTGTTGTTGTTGTTGTTGTTGTTGTTGTTAATCATTTCTTATGTTGTCAGAAGTTTTGGAGTCCTTCTGGAATTGAGCTGTCTGACTGCTTCTTGGATTTTGTAGACAAAAACACATTGTACATTTGATAAATAATAGTATTACTGTATCACATATGAAATGTATCATGGTTTCCCTAAAAATATTAGGCAGCACGACTGTTTTCAACATTGATAATAATAGGAGATGTTTCTTGAGCACCAAATCAGCATATTAGAATGATTTCTGAAGGATCATGTGACACTGAAGACTGTAGTAATGGCTGCTGAAAATTCAGCTTTGCCATCACAGGAATAAATAATGTTTGGTGAGCGTAAGACATTCAAAAACATTTTAAACACTTGCACAAGCAGTTATCAAAAATGAACAAGAAGTTATCAAAACTAGTCGCTTGCTATACGTGTCTAATCAGTGTTATTAACCTCATAAGTATGCAGGTTAAATCTTAACCCATTTTGTATAATGAGAAATCTCGTAACCTACGTGACAACTCAGTTTAACAGGGTGATCCTAACTATTTTTAGTGTCAAAAACATTCTTTGCCTACTTTCTAAAAAACCTGAAAATACAGACATAACAATTTTCACTTAAGGTGCTTACAACATGAAAAGTACAGTAATACAAGTATGTTCCCCGGACTTCTAAACTTCGGCTAAGCTGCACTCTTCAGCCATGAAACTCCCTTGACGTCCTGTTTCCATTAAAATTGCATTACGGGTATGTCATACTTGGCATTAGGCATCATTTAGCCTAAAGATGTTAGAACATAAATGCCCTGCTCTTGTTCAGTGCATAGTCTTCAATTTTAGTCTAATCTGTTGATATGAGAGTTTTCACTTCAAGCTTGTTGTTGTCATTTATATATACTTTATCGGTTACTGTTTCCGACAACACTTGTTTCTGTTGTTCTGAACATGCACGCAGTACTTTCAGTTTCTTATTTCAGTTCCTAGATTTTACTTTGCATGTGTACTCGCTCACATCTGTTTCTGGCTGTTCTTGCTCCATCCGTCACAGGATGACTGGAGCGTAAATCGTTGAACATGTTGTTGATATATAAATAACAAATGGAGCTAGTCTCAATGGCAAATACTGTTTCCCCTCAGTGCTGTAGGGCAAGGGAATGCTGGTCTTAAACAAGTTTTTCTCATACTGATTGTGATAAAGATACAGATAGGTACAGCTAGTCCAAGATCAGCATAAGGAGGAGGGGAGGGAGAGCTGGTGTTTTGTTCATGTCACAGCTCTGTTTCTCACTGCGCCTCCTGCTGGATTACTCATGGAAATGATCTCTTCTGTTTCAGATTAACCAAAACAAGCTGCCACTGAGGTCTGTGGACCCCAGGTTGATTTCCAGGGGCACTCCCCAGGATTTTACTCCTGCTTTTGCTGACTTCAGCAGGCAGATGCCAGGAGGACATGGCGCCCCAGTGAGTTATAATAACTCATATGCACTATTACAGACCCAAAAATAGCTATACATATATATATATATATAGATGTGAGGTGTTTCCACACACATACACACACACACACACACAAATTCTAATCTATCAGCATATTCAGGTATGATTGAGGAATTTTGAAGAACATTTAGCAGTTTGGTAGATTAATCTATTCATCAAGAAACCACCTAAGATTAATATCTAGGTCTTGTTTCACCCCAAAATCAAAAGAAAGAAATAAGTCATTGTATTTTGCATAAAGTAAATGAAGCCTCTTTTAGGGCCATTAAGTTTTTTTTGCCTTTTGACATTATTTTCATAACAATTAAGCACATTTCCATCCAAATTCTCATTACTTCATTGATGCCAAAAAATCCAATTCACATTACTATAATGTGGAAACAAATATAAGAATTTATATATTGTACCTTTATTACTGCTTTTAATTTGTTTTTCTCATCTATTTTCTAATATTGTTTTACTGTAAAAACTAATGGCTCAAAAAGCAAAACATCCACATACAGTATATTACAGTAATGTGCATTTAGTGGTAGAATGTGCTTAATTTTATAAAAGAAAGTTTCTTTTTTTTTCTTTTGATTTATAAGTGAGATTAGCCCAGCAATTGTCTACATTTTAAAGCGTGACACTCTTCTAAAAGCTGTTCATTTCTTTTCTATCTGTACACTTTATCCAAAGCTTATAAACGTGCGGCGACTTCCACCACGCAAGATCATAGTAAATGTTTCCGTTACTGATGACATTCAGCTCAAGAAGGCAGAGAATGCCTGGAAACCTGGGATGAAGAAAGAGAATGTCACAGATGACCCAGAGGCCCTGAAAACCCAGGTGTGGAGTTCTGCTCTTTTACTATTATCCATAAGTGTTTGAAAAATTCACTATAAAAGAAGCACTTCAAGAGATGCACACCTAAGCGTGAATTAGATGGTTGCCACATGTGGCTACTTTTGTTCTTGTCGGCACTGGGGTTTTGTTTGACGTTCTCACATCCCTTAAGTCCTGATTTGTCACCTGATTTGTTTATTTTATCTGAAGGTTGTTTTGTTGATTTGTTGGCAATCTGTTGCTTTTCTGGCACTTCAGGAGTTGTTCCGGAAAGTTCGTAGCATTTTGAACAAGCTCACACCCCAGATGTTTCATCAGCTGATGAAGCAGGTGACGGATCTCACGATCAACACAGAGGAGAGGCTGAAAGGAGTCATCGACCTTGTGTTTGAGAAAGCCATTGATGAGCCCAGCTTCTCTGTGGCCTACGCCAACATGTGTCGCTGCCTGGCTACGGTACGTTCTGTGCACTTTGGAGTTAATTGTGCAGTGTGCAGTTGTGAAATTTACATGTCTATTTTCTTTGGACTGTCCGTTATTTTGCCTCATATTATTCATTCTTTAGTATGTCATAAGTATTTCTTCCTCTTATGATCCAATTGTAGCTAAAAGTGCCCACAGCAGACAAACCTAATACCACGGTAAACTTCCGGAAGCTGCTATTGAACCGCTGTCAGAAGGAATTCGAGAGGGACAAAGTGGACGACGTCGTACTTGAGAGAAAACAAAAGGAGCTGGACTCTGCCACATCAGTAATTATTCGATAATGATTAGCAAGAATTTAGACTTGCTCGTCTTGGTAGACTTTTTGACTTTTAGTCCGTAATGTCTATTTATGTACTATATTCACGAGGGCAAATGTATTTAATAGGAAGTTTACCCTAAAATGAAAAATCTGTCATTATTTACTCACCCTCATGGCAACCCAAATCATTTTATTTAAAAAAATAATAATTGTTAGTATGCAGTTGTTACTTTAGTATTTTTTTTATATAATGCTAGTATTAAATACTATTATAATATTTATTAATATTATGAATTAGCTTTTATTTTTATATTTTCAGTTTTCATTTTATTGTTAGTTTTCCATCTTATATTTATATTTTATTTATTTCAGCCTAGTTTCAATTACCAAAACAATTTTAATAGTTTTAGTTTTCATTTGTGTTTTGGTTAATAGTAACAGTGCTGCTAGTACATTCTTCAATATTGCTCTTTTTTGTGTTCTCTGAACACAAGGAATGACATTAAGGGGGAGTAAATAATGACAATTAATTTTTGGTTGCTCTATTCTTTTAAAGACATTATTGAAAGCATTATGGGATTTATATGTAACTCTTTTTTGTAGCCCACAGAAAGGGAAAAACTGCAGGAAGAGCTCGAGGAGACGAAGGACAAGGCCCGGCGTCGCTCCACAGGAAATATCAAATTTATCGGTGAGCTGTTCAAGCTCAAGATGCTGACAGAGCCCATCATGCATGACTGTGTGGTGAAACTACTAAAAAACCATGACGGCGAGAGCTTAGAGTGCCTCTGCAGGCTCCTCACTACAATCGGCAAAGACCTTGACTTCGAGAAAGCCAAGGTAACTCACCCAGCAGTTTGTTATTAAACATTCTGGAGCCATATCGATTCGTATTTCACAAGATCAGTGGTAAAATCCCTTGGAAAGGGAAATTGGGGAAGGCATCCAAGGTAGAATGTTTTACTTATTATTTAAGTAATCTAATATGACCATGAAACTAGATCCACTGTAAAACCTAATGGCAAAAGTATGGTCCACTTTGCAAACTGCTCAAGAACTGCCTCTTAGACAGGAAGGAAGCATCTAATTTACAAGTAAGTAGAGTCTGAAATTAACACTCGTTAAGCAACAAATAAGAGTTAAAATGATTTTTGATGGCGTTGGGTTGATTTACAAGGAATTGCAACATAATGCATGGTTAGTTCGACTTGTAAGAGTGATAGTGTAACCCTCCATGATGTAAATGACTCAAACGATTTAAATTAAAGACATACAGACCATCTACTAAAGAAAACATTTGAAAACACCAGACCAAACACAGATTTTGTATGATTTTTATGGAAAGGTAAATCTGAAATCATGTGCAGATGTGCTTCTACGTTCCTCAGAGAAAATTATTGGATATCTTGGAATGATTCAATGCCAGAACCTTGCGAATATTGGCAAATCCTGCAATTGGTTTCACCTTCGAAGTGCACAGCATGGGAACATGTAAAAAGTTTTGTTTCCTACCAGACTAATAAAATCTCTCCCCCCCTCACCCCCCACATTGGACATTGCATAAATCCAGCCAATCACACCGGAGCTTGCCATTTTCATTTTCATTTTGTGTGCAATATGCATCAGACAGGCGGTCTGTAGGAAGTCCATGAGTGTTCTGTCTGAGGCTGAGACTGCAGTATATAAGGACTGGAGCTTTATTTAGCCCAAAAGGACACTCAAAAGCTGAATTTTTAGATGAATTCTTAACTAACCACATAATCACTGTTGTTCACTTGGCATTCCTTCAGCACGCCTCTACTACTATAGGCTACTAATAAATCAGTCCAGTACTCTGGAAAGGCAGTACTCAGCAGTAACAGTGTTAACTGCGATGCTCAAAAAGGAGGGGAATTTTGAATTGTTTTGTGCATGTATTGTAGAAAAATAGCTCAAAACGAGACATTCTCGCTGAAGGGATCTCTGTAGCGCTGTTCGTGTTGCATTCTTCAATGATGGCTAAAGGCGGGTAACTGAAAGGGTGTCGGTTTGAGTCTTGGAGCATAAACTATGCATGAACTGTCACCAAGTTTCCCATGAGCAAGACACCTAACACCATTTCTTTTTGAAAAAGGTCTCTTATGATCACCAAGGCTGTATTTATTTGATCAAAAATACAGTAAAACACTAATATTGTGAAATATTATTACAATTTATTATAACTGTTTTGTATTTTAAAATGTGTTTTACTCCTGTGATGGCAAAGCTGCATTTTCAGCAGCCATTACTTAAGTCATCAATGTCATATGATCCTCCAGAAATCATTCTAATATGCTGATTTGCTGTTAAAAAAGCATTTCTTATTAATATCAATGTTGAAAACAGTTGTGTTCATATTTTTGTGAAAACCATGATACAGAATTCTTTTTTTAAACATTGTTTATTTGAAATATCAATTTTTTGACCAATGTAAAAGCTTTTACTGTCACTTTTGATCAATTTAATAAATCATTTCTGAATAAGAAAATGATTCAAACTAAAATAGAAAGAAAGAAAAAACATTTTACTTTAGTGTAAGTGAAACATAGCCATTATTAAACACACAAACATTTAAAATTGTTACATTTTCTCATGATCTCTTTGTTGCAATGAAACTAAATTAGTTCTAAATTACATGCATTGCATGACATGTGGGAAGTCGTGGCCTAATGGTTAGAGAGTCGGACTCATAACCCAAAGGTTGTGGGTTCGAGTCTCGTACCGGCAGGGATTGTAGGTGGGGGGAGTGAATGTACAGCACTCTCTCCCACCTGCAATACCACGACTGAGGTGCCCTTGAGCAAGGCACCGAACCCCAACTGCTCCCCGGGCGCCGCAGCATAAATGGCTGCCCACTGCTCCGGGTGTGTGTTCACGGTTTGTGTGTGTTCACTGCTGTGTGTGTGCACTTTGGATGGATAAATGCAGAGCACTAATTCCGAGTATGGGTCACCATACTTGGCCACACGTCACTTCACTTCACATCTAAATAACATTAGAATTTAATATAGAAACCTTTTTAATGCAGTTATAAGTTAAATGGAAAATCACATTGCATTGAACACATTTTACACTCCAAAAGCTTTGACTGGAAAAGCCTTTTTTTCACCCAGTTTTCCAGCACAGCTCCTTATCATCATGGCACGATTGTGTAGCTTTGAGATTTTTATCTTTAATCTGATTGTGAATATGTTGAAATGCCTTTGTCTTTTGAAGTACTTGATTGAAATGTCATTGTAGCTGTACAAAGGACTGAGCTGGGAAAATGCTGCAGTGCAAAGCAAAATAATGAGGAATAATCACTTCAGGGGGTGAACATATTCTGAATACTGTACACACACGCACACACACAGTCTAAATGTGTTTCAGCTGAGCCCAACAGACCCTGGAGCTAAGTGTTAGGCAAGAGGGTAAATGTTTTCTGTATCCATCCTTTCTTTCTAGCAGCAGGAACTTAAGGCATTTTTAAGCTTACAGGGTGTCAGATCGGGAAATAGGTTCTGTGTTTATTGACCTTCTTGATTTAGGAACAGTTCTTTGCCTCAAAACATTATTTTTTAGATTTACGATGACTCCCTATATGTCCTGTACCCCATAATGGATGGGTACAGACAGGAAGATCTGTGCTATATGATCACACATCACTGCAGCAATGAAGAAGTCTGTCTTCATTTATAATCAGTAATCTTGCAGGGATGTTGTGATTGACAAGGGCACATGGACTCATGAAGTCAGTATTTGATATTCAACTGAAATGTTTTTCATCACTCCCTGCTCTGTGTCCTTGAATAGCCCCGTATGGACCAGTACTTCAACCAGATGGAGAAAATTGTCAAAGAGCGCAAGACATCGTCACGGATACGGTTCATGCTACAGGATGTGATAGATCTGAGACTGGTAAGTGCCAAAGGGGATTGTGATTGTGTTTGTTTGTGTGTGTGTGTGTGTGTGTGTGTGTGTGTGTGTGTGTGTGTGTGTGTGTGTGTGTGTGTGTGTGTGTGTGTTGAGAGAGTGTACAGATAGCCTTTGCCAGACGTTTAGAAAGGCCTGGTTTTCATGCAAGTAACAGAAAAAAGCAAAAACATCTGTGTAGTGTTTTTGCTGTCTTAATTAAAAAAAATAAAAATAACCACTTCATAATCTTTGTGCTTTATGTGGCATTTGACTTTAACGAAAATTGTGGTACAGTGCAGTAAAAGCAGTAATTTGGTGAAATATTATTACAATTTAGAATGTATTCTTTACTGTCACTTTTAAAAAAAAAATCAATTTAATGCATCCTTGCTAAATAAAATCATTAATTTCTAATAATAGTATTTTAGATCATTTTAAAATACATTAAAATTGTTCTTAAAAAGTTTTAATATAAAATACTTGTAAAAAAAAAACAATAAATTTACTTTATAATAATTTATTAATTATAATTTATATGATTTTATTTAACATATGATTTTTATAAGTGGAAAAATATATGTGAAAAAAGGCACGGAAACGGAAACACTGAACTCAGTGGCCCAGAAACAGCCACAGGTTAAATATAGTGTCAGCAAGGTCATAACTTTTGGCATCACATTATATTCGCCAATAGCGTAGTTTAGCCTGGTGTCTCTCCCCTGCATTCTTCAGTTTTTGTTTTATCTTTGAGTGATAAAAATGTGTGAGAGAGAGAAGAGACAAAAAGAGGAGGGATGCTTCTTCAAATTTTTGAAGCTTTTATTGTACACAGCTTTAAAAACAAAATTCTGAAAGGTTTGTAGTTTTATATAGTTTGGAGTTAAATGTAACTGTTTCTCAGAATGACACTGATCTATTAATCATAGACACCTGATCTCTCTGATTAATTTATATTGTCCAGCATAACTGGGTGTCCCGAAGAGTAGACCAGGGTCCTAAAACCATAGAGCAGATCCATAAAGAGGCCAAGCTGGAGGAACAGGAGGAACAGAGGAAGGTTCATCAGCAGCTTCTGTCTAAGGACATCAAGAGGAGGCCAGGTGAGAGCCACAGCTTTTTGGATTGTGTCTCCTGTATAGCAGGCCAACTACAGCGCCGCCCAGAGGACAAAACTCATTTGACATTCCAGGTATACTCCGAGATAAGGTTTGAACATCAAAACCATAATGGGAACATGTTCAGACAGCAGGCTTTGCGAACAGCTTATTTGTAGAGGAGAACACGTTAATGGTTAACAAGGTTTGACTGTGCTTTTGGGTTTGTTCATACAACAGTAACTTGACAGATTTCCTATTATTTTAAAGGAATAGTTAAAAAAAAATGTAATCTAAAAAGTAAGGAATGTGACAGCTTGTGAGTAAGAAAATAATGACAGAAATCAAATTTTTGGGTGAACTTCCTTTAGATCAGTGGTTCTCAACCCTTTAAGATATTTCTGATACAAAGCTTCTTGTTTTCATTTTTATATTTTCAGAAACTAGAAGAGATGATATTGAAAATTTACATCCAAAAATTTCAAGAACTGCATTTTCTACTAGTTTGTGACTAATTCTCAGCAATTTCAGCAATCTCAGAGCTTCACATAACTATAAAAATGTTTATTCATTATAGAAATGTATTCTTTTTTAAATTTGATAACAGATTTAAATATTTTATTTATTTTCATGACACTTCACAAAATTCCCTTATACTGTATATCCAGATTTTATTTTAGGAATGCTTAAATAAAAATTACATTTATTGAGGTAACAAATTAAAATAAGAAATCTGCTTGGAATTAATTCACTGAAAAGCTGAAATAATTATATTTCTAAAAGAAATATCCTTCGAATTGTGATGAGGCCCCTTTGTGGGTCCTGGCCCCCTGCTTTAAACACGTAATAAAACCCTTGGCATTCAGTGTTCAATGACTATTATAGGCTAGTGGTGATCTGTTGTGAAGTAATGCTGCTCTGTGTCTTTGGTTATAGACCAAAGAGATCAGCGCTCCCAGAGGGAGGAGACCTGGAACACTGTGCCCACTACTAAGAACAGCAGGACCATCGACCCCACAAAGATCCCCAAGATCTCTAAGGTGAAGAGATGATTCGCTGCACAAACACTTCATATTTCACACATAAAACCCATTTTTGAATGCCAATCAGTGGGTACCACTGCCACCTACTGATTATAATCACAGTTGTTAAGTGCAGCATGGAATATGTTGACATTGGCACCACATGTGCTTTAACAATCAATGATGAGTCATTTTAGAATCTGTGATATAGTGACGAGGTAGTAATGCTCTCGTACCCTCTATGACCTCTGAATCCCAACCAATCCCCAATATAGCCTCAAATCGATGAAAAGATTCAGCTTGGTCCGCGGGCTCAGATCAACTGGATAAAGGGCAGCAGTGGTGGAGCTAAAGCTAGTGACCCTGGTGAGGCCACATCCACAAATGACACACAGTGTGAAGTAATGTTCAAGACTTTAAGACTTTGTCTTAAATTGACTGCCCATTCAGTGAAGTTTAGATTACGGTTTTCTATATTACATGCCCATGTTTCCAGAGTTAACACGCTCTGCCAGTAGCACCCTGAACCGTTATTCAGCACTACAGTCGTCCACGTCTCAGCCCAGCCCAGCACCAGCCCAAACTTCTGATTCTGATTCCAGACGCCCACTGGGAAGGTACCCAACATCTGAGAACTGAAGAGCTACAAATGCAGATGTAGAATTTAAATGTAATTTGTCTTATTTTGTATGTCTCTGCCAGTCGAGGCAGCACTGGTCGTGATCGCAGTGAAAAGCCGTTGAGTTTGGGGCCGTCACGACCGGGGCTCTTCAGCAGAGGTAGCAGTGCTAAGGAGCTAACAGACAACATGGCCCCTCAGGAGACATGGAGAGAGGGGCCTGACTCACACCATACACCTCGTGAAGCCAGCATTCCAGAGGAGAAATGTGAGATAGAGAACAACAGACCCACAGAGACATGTGAGGAAGGATACATGCTTACACTAGTCAACACATATACATTAAAGCTGCATTTTCCATGTATTTGCTTGTGTACTAAATATACATTCTATATACTGAGCTTCTGCTTCATTGCAGTGAAATCTGAGACGCTGCAGGTCACTGGTGGTTCAGAGAAGCCCATCCTGACCGAAGAGGAGGTCGAGCGGAAGTCCAAATCCATCATTGATGAGTTTCTGCACATTAATGACTACAAGGTACATCACAGGACCCTAACACTAACCCAAACAAAAACTCCCGACATTTACAATGAAAAGCCAAACTTCTGTTCAGAAGTTTGGGGTAACTACGATTAGTTTTATTCAACAAGGATGCATTAAATTAATAAAAAGTGACAGTAAATACATTTGTTACAAAAAAAAAAATTCAAATAAATGCTGCTCTTTTGATCTTTGAAAAGAACAAAAATGTATCAAGGTTTTGACGAAAATATTATCCAGCACAACTTTTCAACATTGATAATAATAATAATGCACCAAATCAGCATATTAGAATGATTTCTGAAGTATCATGTGACACTGCAGATTGCTGTAATGTCTCCAGGTAGTGTTACCGCTTAGCTAAAAATAAAATTGAATTCTTGTATCTAGTGTTTGGAAGTCTTCATTATGTGCATCTCTTTTCACCATGATATATTTAGAAAGTCTACATTGTATTGTAATAGTGTCTGTCTATGTGAGTGCCTGCCATCATGCAGCTTTTCATTATTATGTTTGATTCAGTGTATGTAACATAACTTTGAATATCTACTATGTGATTGTTTGTAAGTACTGTGAACCGTTTTGTGTTCGTGTCTGTTTGTGTGTGCAGGAGGCAGTGCAGTGTGTTATTGAGATGGATCAGCCCTCTCTGCTGTTTGTGTTTGTGCGCATGGGTCTGGAATGCACACTGGAGCGTAGTCAGAAAGCCAGAGAGCACATGGGACTGCTCTACTATCAGCTTATTCAGAAGGACATCTTACCTCATTCTCAACTCTTCAAAGCGTGAGCACACACATTTCATTAGCATCAAATGTAGTTTGCATGTTGTGCACTTTCATCCTATGGTAGTAAAGCGCTATGGTTTGTCCCTGTCTCTTGGCTCTGTAGGTTTTCGGAGATGCTGGAGCAGGCTGATGATATGGCCATAGATGTTCCCTTCATTTGGCTTTACCTGGCTGAGCTGCTCAGTCCTCTGCTGAGAGAAGGAGGAATCAACATGAGAGAGCTGTTCAGGTCAGGACCCCATTGGTCACATCAAACACTGAACGAGGAGGGTCTTATCTCTGTTAGTTCTGTTTGGTGCTTTTTTGTAATTTGTGATGAAAAGGACATTCCACCCCTAAAACCCTGTTACATGTTGTCCTTGATTAATAGACGGATGTTCGTTTGAGGTGGAATCTCCTTTCAAAGGACGATTTAAGAAATGCATGTACTGTTAAAGCTCCAGTACAGGGTCAAGATATTATTCATATTATATTATAATACATCTAAAACATGAAATTATAGTATTATATTATTTTCTTTCGATATATCTGTAGGTTCATGGTGGATTGTTGTAGCATATTCCCAGCATGTCTCCGGCCTTATATTTTATTTTATTTTGTATTATACAGTAGCTGTCTGAATAATCGATTCTGATTGGCTGGAAGGTTGTTGTTCAGTCAGTTTAATCACCATTCTATATTAATGTGCTGCTTTTATTGAACCTCACACACACATCGCGCAGCACACATGCATAAACATTCAGGAGCAGAGAAACTTAATGCTGTCCTGCAACTTTTATTAATAAAAAAGCTTCACTACTGAATCGCTACATTATATTTCTCTCTCGGCCTCACTATTTACTTCAAATAAATGCTATAATTCATTCAAATAAAAGAAATGGTAAAGCAGTACTTTATATCTGTGTCTGATTTAAAGCTGGCAGTATGGTATATCTAACATGCCGTAAGTGACAAATATAACCTTAATTTTTACCCTTCTGGTCAAATATAAGCACTGCAAACATCAATGGACAGCTTTAATTTGTAAATGTTGGCAAATGACCATGGTATAAGTGGGATAATCCATGGCTTAGGTGGATTTAGGCATTAAAATAATCAAAATATTAATAAAAACTATTATAGTATCTCAATTCTAAAATAACTGTTTTTTAATAAATAATATTTTATAATAATAAAAAATAATATATTTTTTACATTTAATAAAAAAAGTACAATATGCATCCTCACTAGCTACTTTGTCACTGTTACACTACAAGAACATTTTACCATATTTCTGAATAATTTATTTAAAAATTCTGTTTAAAACAACTTTCGTAGGCAAGAATGTATTATCGAAGGGTGAGCTGCATCCAAGGCAGTTTGCGCAGTCAGACGTTTTGCAGTCTTTGAGAATTTTTTTTCAAGTCAACATGGCCTTTTTAAATTTTTTGGATTATGATTTGAAACTACAGAATTCAGTACTAGATAAAAAAATTAATAAAAACTTCAGACAAACCTCATTGTATTGGGTTATTGGGACTTCTGGGGCTTTAACAGTTTGGCAGTGCACAGTAGTTGCAGTCATTCCAGGTCCTTGCAGGCTTCAGCTGTCATAGTGATTCAGTTTAGCATCTAATGGAGATTTGTTTTGTTTCTGCAGTGAGTTAAGTAAACCGCTACTCCCTGTGGGAAGAGCTGCCATCTTATTTTCTGAAATACTGCACCTACTATGCAAACAAATGGTAAGATCATTGAGTTCGTCTTTATCTAGTTCATCATCTGTGGTTTAGGGCTCCTGCATGATGCTTTCTATAAACAGACACCTCTATGACAGAAACAGTATGCTGTAAATAAGCTTTGTGTATTGTTCTGGGTTCCATGGGTTTGTGTGTTCACACGCGTCTGATTGTGCTACAGAGCCATAGGAAAGTTGGAGACTTGTGGAGAGAGTCTGGGCTGAACTGGGCCGACTTCCTGCCTGAGGGAGAACATCTTCCTACCTTCATCTCACAACAGGTGAGAATGTAGCCTGAACACCCTTCCCAGAAATGAACCATCGGTGTTTAGAAGTAATTAACTCGACATAGCAACACATTAAAAAAATGCAGCTGTTTTCAAAATAGTGTAGCTTTATCAAGCTACTTTTTAAAACAGATAGCAGCATTGCACAATTGTTACCAAAACTGAGTTTATAATCTGAACCAAAATGTCAGCTCTTGTTCTCAGCATTAGAAATTCTGACTCATTTTAGTGAATTACTTCGTTTTAAATGATTCTTTAAAATAAATCATTCTAATAAGCAATTTATGAATTAATTTGAGCCCTGTGCTGCATTTTAGATTATGTACAGTACAAATTTAATATTATTTATATTTCAATAATTTACCAAAATAATAAAACAGTACATTTCTGCTGTTCATCATTGTTTTCAGCTGTTTTATTGGTGCGGTCCTCACTGTTTTTGTGCATCAGTAAGATTGTTTTTAGGAAAAGTAATATTTTATTCAAGGCCGCATTAAATTAATTAAAAATTACAGTAAAGACAATGTTACAAAAGAGTTATATTTTAAATAAATGCTGTTCTTTTGAACTTTCTATTCATCAAAGTACCCTGGAAAAAAAATCAGTTTACGCAAAGATATTAAAAAACACAATGGTTTTCAACATTGAAAATAATAATGTTTCTTGAGCACCAGATCAGCATATTAGAATGATTTCTGAAGGATCATGTGACACTGAAGACTGGAGTAATAATGCTGAAAATTCAGCTTTGCATCACAGGAATAAATAAAAATATATTAAAATAGAACAAAATAATATTTCGCAATATTTCAGTTTTTAATGTATTCTTTGTAGCGCTGGCCCCTAATATTCGACTAACTGTTAGTCGACCAGAAGAGGCTTAGTCGATCAAAATTGTATTAGTCTCAGAAGAAGAAAAAATTCCACAGGAAGTGGCAAAGTCACATAGTCCGTGAAGGACAAATTATTAACAGCTGGTCTATTACAGTACATCAGACATCCAAACGTTCGTTTCTTTCATCGACCTCAAATGTGGCTTTTCATCTGAAACATGTAAGTAGTAGCATCTTTACATAGCCGCTCGCTCTACCGTTAACCTAGAAAAATGTGTGCTATTCAAGTGTAATCCGTATGAAACATGCACGTCTGCAGTCTGTGGAGATAACAAGTCAGTCTCGTCGACTTCATCACTGCAGCCACAGTGATGCAAATACAGAAAACACTAGAATTAAGGCGGTCTTCTTGCTGTTTTTTTCCCTGAAGCATTCATAATCATTACTTCTGCCGGTGTGCAGTGGCAAGTTTTATGTGTGCGCTTGAGCACTGATAGGCAATTGAAGTCAAATTATTATGAATTATATGGTTTATAAATATATATACGTTTAATTAGTCGACTAATTGCTAAAAACGAAGGACTACTAGTCGACTAGAAAAATCTTTAGTCGAGGGCAGCCCTAATTCTTTGATCACATAAATGCAGCCTTGGTGTACAGTAGTGTAAGTGTGTTTATAGCTAGTTTAAAGCAACTTCCCCAATTTCAAGGAATGTGTTAAAAAAAAAGAAGCTTTAAGGAAAAATGTGCTCTAGAACACAAAATCAACCAGCTGTGTCTTTTCCTACTTTTTCCAGAAGTTAGAGTTCACCGTATCAGAAGTCTCCCCAGTGTCCCCGGCCACAGCTAAACCCAGCCTCAGTCCTGAGGAGCTCTTCAAACAGCTAGAGCACCTCCTGCTAGAAGACATGGCTAGTGACGAACAGATCTTCGACTGGGTCGAGGTGAGACTGATCCCATAGACCTCTCAAGCAGATCCGCAAAGCCAAAATTCACATGTATGAAACGTCTTCAAGAAAATGCAAGTCTTAAAAGCTGCTTTTCTTTTCAGGCTAATTTGGACGAATCTCAAATGAGTTCATCTCCATTTTTGAGAGCTTTAATGACGGCTGTATGTAAAGCAGCAGTTAAAGGTGAGCAAACTACTTACTCTACTTCAACAGCTTCATCTCTATCTTCCTTTTACCAATTACTTTCGTCTTTTTTCCTCTCCAGATGAAAGCACGTCCTGTAGAGTGGACACTGCTATCGTCCAGAGACGCCTGCCTATATTACATAAGTACCTTAACTCGGACACCGAGCGGCAGCTGCAAGCACTTTATGCTCTTCAGTCTTTGATTGTCGCCCTGGATCAACCTCCCAGTATGTAGCAGATGAAAATAAAGATGCCAAACTGAACGAAAGATTTCTAGTATTGTAATTTTTCTCTACTTCTATCCACAGATCTACTCCGAATGTTTTTCGACTGTCTTTACGATGAGGACGTTATTTCGGAGGAGGCTTTCTATCAGTGGGAAACGAGTAAAGACCCAGCGGAACAGCAGGGAAAAGGCGTAGCACTGAAGTCTGTCACCGCTTTCTTCACCTGGTTACGAGAGGCAGAGGAGGAGTCTGAGGATAATTGACACAAGCAGGTGGCCGACACCCAGAGGCCCCCTACTGACACAAAAAAAATTGCATCCAGACTAAACCGGTCTAGCCATAGACAGACTTACTCCTGAAGACACAGGAACTTTGACTTTGAAACGCTGGCCAACTTAAGCTGGAACGCCTACTGACACAAAAAAAATTGCATCCAGACTAAACCGGTCTAGCCATAGACAGACTTACTCCTGCAGACACAGGAACTTTGACTTTGAAACGCTGGCCAACTTAAGCTGGAACTCTCTACGCAACGGAGGGAACACTAAATACTTGTATCATATATATAGAAAATATTTTTTAAGTTTGACTTTTTGTTTCTTTTTGTTACTTTTAAAAGAAGAGACTTAAAATAGGTTCTGAATTCTTTAATTTATTATTTTTTTAAGAGACTGCAAGTATGGAGTTCTATTTAACATTTGCAGGCAAAAAGAACATTGATAGAAATAACAGAATAGACATGTATCATAACAATAATATTAATTTTGTTTAAATGTGTCAGCAGCCTCCCTGGATTCATGTGATTGACCTTAAAGCAAATAAAATATTTCCTCAGAAATAAATACATTTTTGACTCGAGTTGGGGACTGGTCCAGGATCGGCTAATGTTGCTGAAGTTTCAGGCTGTTTTGAGAAACACCCGCCACTGGTTCTTCTGCTTCACTCCCTGGATTCATGTGATTGACCTTAAAGCAAATAAAATATTTCCTCAGAAATAAATAAATAAATACATTTTTGACTCGAGTTGGGGACTGGTCCAGGATCGGCTAATGTTGCTGAAGTTTCAGGCTGTTTTGAGAAACACCCGCCACTGGTTCTTCTGCTTCGGCTTTTGCTCAATGAACTTTCCAAGTAACATGGCAAACACAGTAAAAAAAAATATGCATCCTGAATGGAATGAAAAGAATTCAGACTTCAACATCAAATAGCTGTATGCATTAAGGTGAAGTGCAAACACTAATGCAAGTCAGAACATTGCCAGGATTGCTCAGTGTACTTGTGATGAAGAACTACAGAGGAAATGTAAAGCTTGTAAATACATTAAAGTGAAAAAATGAGATTTTAAAATGGCCATGATGGTGTGCTGTTTGTTTGTGCAGGGAAAATGTACAGCATTTTGCTAATATGCCAGTTAATCTCTGCATCCTGACATGTGGATGTCTATCTTGAACAGATTATTTGCTGTCTTTACCTCATTTGTTTTCAAGGACAAAAAATGTGTAAAAAAATAATAATACAATGAATACAAAGTATAATAACCTTAATAAGTCTTTAACAGACATATCAGCAGATATATTTAAATGTGAATTATGTTTTAGGATATTTTATTTGCTTTTTTTTTTTTACTTAATTTCCAAATTGACTGTAAAGCATTACGTAATGCAAGCAATTTTATTAATATTAAGTTATAGTTTAATTAATCATAGAGTGTGGTCAATATTTGTAACTCATTTTTTTCTAATGTCATAAAAATAATCTGTGTGAAATTTTAACGAAAACAACCAGTCAGTGACTTTTACTTTGAATTAGCCGGAGACTTTTAATTTATCAGGTTTATTCCCACAACTACACCGTACGTCGTGACGTCAGACGTACAGAGCGTGTGCGCTCACCTCATGAAGTCGCGAATTGGTAAGTCGTTAATTAAATGCAACTTTAAAATGAATGAAACTCCGTTTATATAATAACTGTTGCTTAATTCAAGCCTTATTTCAAAAACAGACATAAACCACCTTTAAAATGATACGCTGTTACCTATATCACGTAACGTGCACATTTACCATAACAATGCACTAGAACAGTGGTTCTCAAACCTGTCCTGGAGTACCCCCAGCCCTGCACATTTAGTACGTCTCCCTCGTCTATCACACCTGATGCAACTCATCAGCTCATTAGGGGAGACTGCAAGACCTGAAGTGGGTGTGTCAGATATAGGGAGACATACAAAATGTGCAGTGCTGGGGTACTTCATGGAGAGGTTTGAGAGCCGCTGCGCTAGAATAAACAACAATGGGTCTGTTTTGAATCCAAGTTGCCTACCTAGACAACATTTTGCGTATCATAGTATGTTGTCTAGGTGGGCAGCTCATGAGGTTTTCAAACACAAGACTACCTGCAATCTTCGTTCACTTGCAGTCATCAAGCAGCAAAGATGTTCCGGCCAAAGCCCACACTGAAGGACAGACAGCACCTTTACAAGCTGATCATCAGCCAGCTGCTGTATGACGGCTACACCACCATCGCCAACAGCCTGATCAGTGAGGTGAAGCCTCCGAGTGTGGTGTCTCCATCAGAGCAGCTCATGCAGCTGGCCAAGATAGGTATGACTCCAGTCTATACACATTTGTCAATTTCTAACACTTTTAGTGTTTAATCATTTTTTACTTGTACTGTATAATTGCTAAGTAACAGAATAAACTAAACCAGTGCCTATTAAGTACTTGCATATATATTTTTTTCTTTTGCAACAGAGGATTCAACATTTGCAAGCAAAAGGGCAATAAACAAGAGGGTTATAATAGAAGAAATCCTGAAGCTGAAGCATATTATTTTCGGAGTATTACATCAAAAACGATTTTGGAGTTCTTTAAAGAATTTCTGCAAGGAATAGTAATAAAATAATTACAAACTTAATGTGAAGAGGGTGTATTTTCAAACAATCAGCAAAAACACAAGTTTAGGGATAAATTCCTCTTACCAAAATCAGAAAAGTCAATCCAAAACGCTTTGCAACATACACTATTCCAAAATGAGCGAGTAATTGTTTCTTCAAAGTGATGGCTAAGAGCAGTTGTGTCAGTAAACTGCGAGCTTATGATTTACTGGCTCACAAATGTGAATAATTTGAAAAGATGAAATTTTTCTCGAAGAAGCCAGAAAATAACTTTTGAATCTGATTTCATAGGAATGGAGAGCGATGACAGTGCGGTACAGTACGCCATTGGCCGCTCGGAGACCGTGGCGCCCGGTGTGGGCATCGACATGGAGTTTGATGCAGACGTGCAGACCATGTCCCCAGAAGCATCGGAGTACGAGACCTGCTATGTGACGTCTCATAAGGGTCCGTGCCGTGTGGCCACCTACAGCCGTGATGGGCAGCTCATAGCGACTGGCTCCGCCGACGCCTCCATTAAGATCCTGGATACTGAGCGCATGCTGGCCAAAAGTGCCATGCCGCTGGAGGTCAGTGCCACCCTGAAGCCGACGTGGTTTTCTGTTGATTTTCCTTTCTTTTTTTTTTTTTTCTTCCTTATCTCTATATAGATATTATTGTGAACAATTCATCCAGGCATATGCTTAATTTAAAAAAAATTGTGCCTCCACTTTGGAGTTTAATACCCACACCTCAAAATCCAATCAACATCAATGCAGAACCAAGTTCCTGCCTTACATTTTTTCTTTTTTGATAATGCTTCCCTTGGATGTACATCACAATTTGGAAGAAAACAATCTGTCTGTTTCATAGCGACTTCCGGGTATGTAGTTTATTCAAGTTGGACAACCTGACTGTGCAATTCTGCTTTACGATTTAGGTGATGATGAACGAAACGGCCCAGCAGAACATGGAGAACCACCCTGTAATCAGAACCTTGTATGATCATGTGGATGAGGTCACATGCCTGTCTTTTCACCCGACCGAACAGATCTTGGCCTCTGGCTCTCGTGATTACACTCTCAAACTCTTTGATTATTCAAAGCCGTCAGCAAAAAGAGCCTTCAAGCACATACAGGTATAAAATCTAATTAAATCATGCCTCTAAATTAGTTTGAAAAGGTAAACATTTATAATAAGCTGGAGTTTAAAAGGTAATTTGTGGCCCTTCATTTATTGGAGAAGGTTGCATGGATTTCTTTGGAATGATTCTCCCTTTCCTTTTCTACAGGAAGCTGAAATGTTGCGCTCCATCTCTTTCCATCCGTCTGGGGATTTCTTACTAGTTGGCACGCAGCATCCAACCTTGCGTCTTTATGACGTCAACACTTTCCAGTGTTTTGTGTCCTGCAACCCTTTGGATCAGCACACAGACACCATCTGCGGAGTCTGTTACAATCCCAGCGCTAACAGCTACGTTACCTGTAGCGCAGACGGCAGCATCAAGCTATGGGACGGAGTGTCGAACCGGTGCGTGACCACTTTTGAGAAAGCCCACGACGGCGCTGAGGTCTGCTCGGCTGTCTTCTCCAAAAACTCCAAGTATATCCTGTCCAGCGGGAAGGATTCTGTTGCTAAACTCTGGGAAATTTCCACAGGCCGTACTCTGATCAAGTACACGGGTAAGATGGAGAATTCTGGGTAGGGTTAGATTATGGATTACACGGGCTAGATGAGGAATTGTGATTAAAGGTGGGGAAAAAGGTGTCGATTTTCTATTTTAAGCAATTCAATATCAGTTCTTAAAATCTGCTGAATCTTCATTGGTGAAATACTTTTTTACCTCAGAAGTTACTGTTAATTTGCTGTCAGTATTCAGATTCATTAGAAGATGGTGTACTGCAACATAATATCAAGAAAGGTTGTTCTATTAATTTGTCTGATTTCTGGACAAATTACTCGACTCGATTGCAAAGCATGACCAGTGCAGTCTGATTCAAATTACTCTGAGTCAGTTCTTTATTTTGAATTTTAAAAAACACAGTCAGCGTAACCAGTATATTCTAATAATCCTGGGCAAATGACTCTTATGATTCTTTTTAGTGAAGTAAAAGTGTATAGCATGACCGTTGTAGTCCAATTAATCAGCAAATTACTCTTATTTGTCAGTTCTTTACAGTGAATCAAAAACACAGCATAAACAGTGAGATCTGATTGCAGGACAAATGACTCGGTTATGAACCAGTTCTTTTTAGTTAATCAAAAACATAAAAAGGACTGTCTCATCAGTATCATTTGCTTGTGAATTGAAAAAAAAAATAAACATACAGCATGACCAGTAAAGTCTGATTCCTGGACAAATAACTCTTATGAACTGATTTATTCAAACCAGTGTAGCCCAGTTCACAAGAAAATGACTCTTATGAACAGACTCAGAAGCACACATCACAACCAGTGCAGCCCAATTTCGGAAACGCGTGACTCCTATAAGTCGGTTTGAATCAGTCTGAAACATTGCCCTGTATAATTTA